CTTTTCTGAGAAATTTCAGTTCATAGAAAAGGTCAAAACAACACTCTTTTCAACGTATAAATCTTTTTGAGTTTTCTCACTGCATTGTCTTTTTTCTTTACAGGAAAATACATGTTTAGGAAAAGACAGAATAGCTGCACGATGCTGTTTATACTTAACACTATTTGGATGTGCCTAGATTGCTTATGAATTAAGAGTATTGATTTTTGCTTAGATTGTCATAATTTGTTTAGAATCTCAAATTGCAATCGCAATGGTCAAATTGTTGCTTTGCTATTTTATACTGTCCCTCATGCATCTCAAGATCTGATTAGTAAACAAGCAAATACTACAGCATTAGGAGTCTAATATCACTAATTCCTTTGAGGCTAACTACAGCAGCCAATAAAATGGGGAGAAACTGTTAAGATGAATATGTAATTAATATTGAAAAGGGCCTTTGCTAAAAGAGAGTTGTGGGGTAAATATGATAGAAAGTTTTTGCCTCCTGTGACATTACTGGAATAATATACTGCTTTATCAGCCTGCCTACTGCTATAAATCTGCTAGCAAGGTCATTCTCAGTGACCTCACTCAAGCTCTGGAAAAAGTCTAAAAGTAATTGAATATTATACAGATAATCACTTTAAAATGTATTTCAAGTTAGTAAATAGTTTTAAATATCATGTGTTACATTTAAACCCATCTTCCCTCAGTTGTCTCCTTTCCTGAAATTTTCAATGCAGTAAGGATACAGAGATTTCAGTAAAGAAGGACAGCTTGCTTGTTTCTTGCAAATCTTTCAGAGGATCCCTCAAAAAAGCCTTTCTTTTTGCAGAAGTTTGACTCTTGTAATAACTTTTACTATGCTTTTCATTTTTTAATGTTATTCTGAATTATTTTCTTGGCTATTTAGTTTTATTAGGCATTGCATTTTTACTGACTTGTTGCCCTAAAGGTGTGGGATACAAATATAAAAAATAAGCAGATTTTTATTGGTTTTTAGAAGAAAACGTCTAAGCTAAGGGTCTATGCATAGGATGCTGACTCTCCTAATAAAATCAAAGCAAAGTAAATTAATCAATGGCACTTATACAAGTGTGGCAAACATAGGGATGCAAATCCCTTAGAAAAGGGGTGTCAAATTGCCGGCCCGCGGGCCAGATGCATCATGCCAAAACCGCACCCACCCCATTGCCGGCAATGGAAAAAAAGTTGCGACACGTCATGTGACATTGCGAGTTTGACACCCCTGCTTTAGAAGTACAGTAAATAATAGCTACATTCTGCTTCTACAGTCTTTGGAATATATGATCAATTGAATTAAATAAAAAATTTGTTTGATTTTAATTAAGTTTTTATTCATCTGTGAAAATACTATTTTTAAGTGAAACTAATAAAATACAGAAAAGGAAACATGACCATTAAGTGACTAATTAAAGTCACATAAAGCATTTCATCTTCATTGACTTCAAGCCAAGAATTATGCATAGATGTAGTGAAAAGGCAACATGAACAACAAACAAATCATTACATTTGTGCAACTTTCAAGCCATATGTTTTTAAAATCAAATAGTTACAAAAAGAAAAAAGATATGTATTGTTTAAAGGAAGGCTGACATGTATCAAAGTACTGATACATGAAAAAATGCAAATAAGTTGTCAAGCAAATATTCACAAGAAAATTATATTTTAAAAATCTACAAAAGCACATCAATAAATTATATTAAAATTTAATCATTGCCTTTAAGAATTATGTCGTTCTGCTCTAGGAAAACATGGACATAAGCCAGCCAAAGTAAAGGACACTTATATCCCATGAATTTTGATGACATTAAACATACCAGAAACTAATGTAACAGTGTGCAACTTTTGATAGATTCTGTGCGTGTTTATAAAACAAGTTCCATAGCTTTAATCTCCTAGGCAATATCTTATATATCTCAAATTCTTACTTTAGGCCTGATCTTTGGACCTTTTTCCTACTTCCAGAGCACATGGAAATCCAGCATTAAGACCAAATATACCATATTGCACATTACTGCACACAAAAGGATCCAGCATAGCAACTGACAGCATTTTAGAATTCCTATGGCAAGCCATCACTCCATGTAAATTTGCAGTGCATGTCAGAGAGGAATGACTTGTGGTCTGTGGGTTTTGTGAAGGCTGTATTAAAGGATTGCCAATCACGATTGGGGCCAATGAACAGAACAGCTTTTGCAACAGTGGGGCCAAACCATCCATATCAGTTCCGCTTCTCAGGTAGATGAACTTCATCATCATCACAACTCGTTACTAATACTGCAACAGCTTAAACCAACACATAGGATGCAGATGATGGAATTTGTTTTACTATAGGATTTAGCTTTGTAAATCTACCCATCATTGTCTATATAAATATAGGACAAACATGTGAATATAATACATGGAATTAAGCTGGAAATCACAGAAATGACATCAAGGTGAAATACAGGCACTTGACAGGTATAATATGCAAGGCAGAACTTCTATCTGTAACAGTATAAAAATTTTTCCATAAATGGTAAGAATACATATTTGACTCTTAAAGTTCACTCCTGGATTTGTTTCTATGTCAGATCTCAATGCCAACATACTTTTGCTTCTTTTGTATGGTTATCTTCCATAAACTGTAAACCAAAGAGGTCTTTGCATAAAGAAAATGGCTATATTCTGGAATTACTTTCAATTAATTTAAAGAAATTAGGGCACATACTAGATATAGTCAGGTAGTAAATCACTTTCAACAGAATACACATATTTGTAAAGTTTTCTCTGAACTTGAAAGGGGTCTTAATATACTTTCACTCTCAGTGGTTTAAATACTCTATTTTAATTTGCCCAAACAAAGCTTATTCTAAATTATTAGTTCAGCTATAATGCTACTATAAAATCCCATTCCTCCATAGCAGCTATGTTTAGGCTACAATTTTATAATCTGGTGTTTGAAAAAAAAATGTTGTCTATCTTTCTTCAACATAGGGCAGATGCCATTAGCTTGAAATACATCTGTCAGTAGGGGAAAAAAGGGAAAAAAAGGTGTGTTAATAACCCAGGCTGGTTGTAGCAGCCCAGTCCACCAATTTTTCCCATCTGCATGCAAGTCACGTGATCACAAGATACTGCTTGGCATAAGAGCATCTCAAAGTGCAATAGAGCAGCAAGGAAAAATGCTCAAAGACATAAGACAGCACTGATATGGTGGAGGAAGGCTATAAAATCTTGGTGTATGACTCAGATATTGTATCTCTGGATTGTAGCCATAATTTTTATCTGTGATATTTTATTTTTTTTATATAATCTGAAGCTTTTACCTGTAGGGAGGAATTATACCTTGGAAATGTTCTGCATAGTTATAAAACAGTCTTGTTAAAAAACCTGATTCTTAAAAAGAAATTTTGAACATAGATTTTTAGTTTCTATATTGCTAAACAGGTCACTCTATATATAATGACCAGTGGCATGCATGCTCAATATCAGTTTCAAGTAAGGATTGGTAACTAAGAGGCAAGAAATATGCTACCATCCTCGATTAGATACTCATTTTGCAGAACCTGAAATCAAAAAATAATCAAGGTTTTTTAAGGATGAGAAAAACAAAAACAGTAAACTTCTCTAACCAAACATTTCTATAGCAAACTATTATAATTCAAGGCACTTTTAATATTTTCTTCATTTTTGAAATCAGTAGTACTAGCAGTTAGCTGAGCAGTGGCTCTTTGGTAGCTTCTCATTTAACTGTAACTATCTTCTCCAATTCAAAATTATTGGATTCCCTTCACAAGGACATATTTTGTGTAAAATAATTTTAGCAAGTTTAATCTTTGAGGGAACTTCATACATGGAGCAGTCAGAAGACTGGAAAAATCCTTATAATGAAGAATGCAAAAAAGCATTTATCTAATATGTTTCCTTATTGATTTGAAGGAAGTTGTTCAAAGTCATTGCATCTCTTTCTTCTCTCATGGGGACACATAAGCATACAAAAGTACAGTGTCTTCTATCATGCTAAGTACATACATGGGACAATTTTCAATAAATGTATATATAAAAATATCCTGTTGGGGAAAGAAGCCCCACATTAATGTTAAGAGTACATTTCTTCTGTTCTCTTCTTCAGTAATAGTGTTAGCAGCAGCTAGCAAATAAATTGTGTAACAGCAAATTAAAGGAAGCATTTGTAGATAGCCAAGACAAAATGTTTGTCATCATGAGGATGTAAAGAAAGAGCATAACCAATTAAATCCTACATAGCAGCAAAGACAAAGAGGATCACGTGGACAAAGTATAAAAGGACAAAGATTGAAAAGTAATTAATCTATAAAAGGATTGTGCATAAACTGAGTGATAACATTTCTTATAGGCTGGACTTTACGAAAGGCTTGATTTCTTAGTTTTCTAAATAATACAACAGCCTAAAAATACCTCATAATATGCAACGTTATTATCAGCAATGATGGTAATACATTCAATGACTCAGCTGAGTAGCAATAGCCACCTGAAGTTTCCATATTTGCTCAGATGAGGAGTTCTTGCTTCTATTTTTGCTACAAAGTGGAGTCAAACTATACCCAGCTACTTTTGTAAGGATAGAATTTGTGCTTAGGCTGACATCTGAGTTGTGTTTGCAGTATATGATTCGGGATGATTGCACTTCTGCTTTAGCTGAATGATAGTAGTTCAACACCACAATATGCAGAATCATTAATATGCAGAAACAGTTTTTCTTCTGTTGCAAACATGCATCTGTGGCATGTTTGCAACAGAAGAAAAACATTGGTGTTTTGATTTGGTATTTTAGAAAAATGCAGAATTTTGATAGGTCAAAATGTCCATCTTAAGAACAAGAAAGCAATATAAAGCCGGAACAATGAGGTATCAGCTGCAAACCAGCATTTTCACAAAACAGGGAAAGCATTCAAAAAATTTACCTGAAGTTCAAGAAATCTAAATCTTACATTAACGCGTTCAATATTCAACCAGTGTATATAATCATTTCAGTTTTTAAAGAGCAACTCAAGATGACAGACAGTGTGAATGTGGAAATTGTAGGCACAAAGTTGGTGTTGAACTTCGTTCAGTGAGGTCTAAGAAACCAATGAGTCAACTATTAAAGAATTTGAATAATGCAGTTCTGTAAAAAGATGCAGTGTTTTGATTTGGTTTAAGTACGTACATAACTCATCTAACTTAAAACAATATTTAGAACATTCCACATCTTTTGCAGATGCATGCAGAACAAAACTTTCACTTTTTCCTGTGGACTGGGTGGATCCAACTATTCTGGTTGGTGCTAGCGCTTGTGGAACAAGTTCATAGTATTCTAGATGTATTCTAGAAATGCATGCACCCACGCATCCCAGATTCAGACTGGCTATTCTTGCAGAAAAACATGGAATACACTGAAGCCGAAATGCTCCACTTTGTCATAACTAATCCTTTATATCATTCTAGTTCTTCCCAGTTATCAGTAAGGTTACCTTTGCTTTGTCGCCTAATGCTGACCAACCTTCCAGCTGACTTAATGCTCCACCTTGAACTATTCCCTGAGCTTGCCAGGTTTGTGTACTTTGTTGAGCCTTTGGTTTCATCTTCCCAGCCTGACCAAGATGAAGAGTCACTTAGAGTATTTTCTGCATCATTGAGGTGGTCGCTGGCAGGAATCTGGGGAGGTTCCCACCCTTCAATCTCATCGGGCTTCCTGGAATGGATGTTCTGTTTTATCACCAAGCTGTCCCAAAATCCACCTTTCTTTTCTGATTTCAAATCTTCTTTAAGTTTCACATTTGTTCTGGATAATAATAAATAGTTTATTTGGAAAGCATGTGAAAAAGGAAAATATTTAATTGTCTGGGAGTAGATGCACATTGTTTTATCATTGGATGAAAGATGATGCTTAGGATGGTTTTTCCAATATCTTCCTCTTATTGTTCATATTTCACTCACTGACTATCTTCAGCTCATTTAAGCATTTATTTTTATATCTCTAGCTTTTAAAAAATAGCTAAAGGCAAAAAGGGTGAATATAAGATTAACCAGAATAGTAAAAATTTAATTAACTTGCGAGTCCTTTGATTTCTATGAATTGGCAGCTCTAGCTGTATCATTGGGAATAATGCCAGTTTTTCCCCACAAGTCATCTATAACAACCACAGCTCCTATTCAAAGTAAATCTTTAAAGAGAATGTTTTGTTATGAAAAACAGTACAGAATTTAACTGTATGTTGTCTAATTTTCTGGAATCTTTGTTACTTTTTCCGATGTATTGCCTTGATTCTAGCTTTAATAATTTGAGTAAACTTATTATAAGACAGCTTCTTACATTTAGTATCATTTTGCACTCCATTATATACATACCCTTTAGATTTTGGAGATCTGCATCCTGTTAATAATTGTTGTTCATCATCTTTATTAAATATGGAGGTTACTTCTTTCCAACCCCGAAAGCCTGCACCTTGAACCTAATAAGGAATATAATAAAAATATTTATAAATATTTTTCTATGAAAATATTTCCTAAAATCTATGAAATATGGCAACACTGCAGAAAAGGTTAAACAGTTAAAGTATATTTTCTTTCATAAGTTTAATATAATTTGAAATTTCTATTGTATTCTAGTTGCAACTTGTTTTAAAGCAAATGTAATGTAATAAGGCATTAATAGTAATAAACCCTTAAATTTCCTAAAAGATTTCTGTGCTAATTTTTTTTGGCTTTACAAAAACATTAGATTCAGATTCAGCCCAATGCTTTTGTTGTCTAAAGTGGAGATTGGCAGTCTGCTGTTTGCAAAGATATTACCTGTACACAATGTTCACTGACCTCCAAATATATTTTTGCAAATTAAAATATTTTTTTTAAAAAAACTTTACAGTGCCAAAATGTCATGACATTTTTACCACTTTTTAAAAAAATTACTGTATTAGGGTTCCTAATCTGCTTTAATATTTATATGGTCCAGAAAACAATAACAATGCTTTAGTTGTTAATCTAAATATTGCATAGTAACTTTGTAAACTTTTTAACCTATACTGCTCAAGAATTAGATATGAATGTTAAATTTGTGCTTTAGAGAAAAACACCTGCTTAGATCTATAAATAAAACAAATACGTATTACAAATAACCATCTCGGAGTGATTTTAAACCTGGTCTTGCTTACAGTAATTTATTCACCCGGATTAGAATCAGAAACTTTTCACCCCATGTTGTGGTAGATTTCAGCATCTTTTAAAACTGTTGCTGTCATATTGTTGTGAATTGCCCAGAATCAGGTGAAATTCAGCAGTGTAAAAAATATAAAGAAATAAATGATCCTTGTTCTTGTCTGAAATATGAAATCAGTTCATCATATCACGTCAGAACCATACTATTTTATTATAAAAGAATCCAGCTATGCTTCACTCGGCCTTCCTGAAATATAGCAGAAAATCCATTTTTATTTCTTAGTTAGTTTTAAAAATCTGCTGATTATAATGGGTTTTGCACAAATTTTTTAAATGTTGGTGCACTGTGACTTTATAAAGAGAACTTCCAGGTTGCTGGCTTCCTACACTAAATCTAAATGGTATATTATTTGGCTAGGAAGAAATTTTTAACTGAATGTGATAAAAAGAATCTCAGGTAAAACATTAGAACATGGCATTTAAAAAACTAAAATAAACAAACTTTGAACCATCCCATTCCATTTTCCCTTGCTTTTCCTGTTTCTCTGGTCTCTTTGGGGAGGGGAGGAGTGAAATCACTAAATCACATTGAGTCCTCACTCTATTATAATATATAATAATACTGCGTATATTAAATATTTGTGTGCCACTGTTTTAGTGATGTTTCTGATGAACAAATACATGTAGGAAAGTAATTTCGCAGCAGAATTAAATCAGTCTTGTCTGGTAGTAACTTTTGTTTTAGGAAATGTTCAAAAATTCTATTGCAGGATGTACTATATATCAAAGGAAAGTTTTAAATTGGGCCTCTTCCTGGAATGTTAAAACAATTTCCCCTTAGTTTGTTATGCATTTTTTTTGGGGGGGGGGGAGAATAATACATTTTATGACTTCAATGAAATTCCTGTTATTTAAGCAATCACTTTTCATAATACTCTTTAAAATGCACCATGAGACAAAATATAGCATAATTGTATATCAAAATATTTCTAGTTTGTTATAGTAAGTTAATGGTTTTATCAAGGAAGTAATAGATTTTGTCAGAAAAAAATCTGGCATGAAAATATATAATTTTACATAATCTTTTTTTTCTTTTAAAAAAAAACCCTTGGCTTACTTTTTGACAATATTTAAATATTTTAAATTACATAATAAATTATTTAATACTCGTTATCATTACTGCAGATCTTAGCTAAAATAGTGACTTTATATTCATTCTTTTATATATAGAAGGTATGACGCTGAATTAATGGTTGACCCTCCATAAATAATGAACTGATTATATATTGTAATTTAAACTGCACATAATTGAACTCTTATATTTCTATCACTATTTATCTATGCTGTACTGAATAAATTCACAAGTTTAAGGGGAAAAAACTCTGCTAAGAAGTAATCATAATTTAATTAGGACCACTAATCTTCAAATATGAAAATGTTTAAAGAAAAATATTATCTTTCAAGGATAATAAAGGAAAATTCATTCTTTTATGAAATTTATACAGTCTCAGAAGTAAAAAAGTAAAGGTGTATATTTGTGAGTGAAATAAATGCAATGGTCATTCAGTTTATTATACTAAAAAGAATAATAAAATAAAGTGGTAAGGGTAGTAATAAATTATATGCAGAGGAATTTTAATTCAAAGTTCATAAACGAATGTTTATTATTTTTTATCATTTTAAAACATAATGGCTCAGCGGTTAAAGATGCTGAACTTGTCAATTGGAAAGCTGACAGCACGGGTTCAAGACCCAAGCACCGCATGGGGGGGTGAGTTCTTGTTCCTTCTCCACCTAGCAGTTCGAAAGCATGCAAATGTGATTAAATAGGTAGCACTCCAGTGGGAAGGTAAGAGCATTCTGTGCGCCTTTGGCATATAGCCATACTGGCCACATAACTATGGAAGTTGTCTTTGGAAAATGTTGGTTCCCTCAGCCAAGAGATGAGCACCATGCCTTAAAGCCGACATGACTGGATAGGGAAATCTTTACCGAATATATCTACAGCATGATTACTAAACAATGGATAATTGTCTCAATGTATATACTGGAAACATGAAAAAAAACCTGCATGATTTGATAAGGAAAAAAAGGCTTTCAAAGGGAAGTGTTCAAAAGCACTTCCTAGGATTAAAAAAACCCTGCTCATTGTATTAATGACAACTTAAGAACAGCAAAAAAGACACAAACTCCATAGTGGAAAGGAAAATTACGTGGGTAGTCCTCAACTCACAACTCATTCATTTAGTGACTGAAGTTATAAAAGTGCTGAAAAAAGTGACTTACAAGTGATCCTTGCACTGATGACCCTCACAGCATCCTCCTGATCACATGATCAACATTTGGACACTTTGCATTTATGATGGTTGCAGTGTCCCAGGGTCATGTGACTGCTATTTGCAACCTTCCAAGCTAGCTTCCAACAAACATCAATGGAGGAAGCAACCATCTGATTCATTAACGATCGCAGTGATTTGCTTAACGAGCCCAGCAAAAAATGATGTAAGATTTGGGCATGACTCACTTAACAACTGCTTCATTTAGTGATGGAGAGTCCAGATACAAGAGTGGTCGTAAGTCGAGAACCACCTGTACTAGTTGTATATTATTGCTAATGATAATAGATTTATTGTACACAGGATAGTATGACTTTAATTTCTTGGTTTAATTCTGTAAGATTGCCTAGGATATCTTTGGAAAAAGAAAAATGAAAAGATAAGCTTTTATTAAAATCTAAATGTAACTATTTATCTTAACCTGTATGACATGCTTAGCGACTTGTTTTAAAATTATAAAATCTAATATCTGCATTGATTCAAACATTTTTTAAAAAGCTTTTTAAGTTCACTGATGTTATATTACATGGCATATTGTAATTCAATATATAGCCACAGTATGTTATCATTATGTTCAGCCATCATTAGATCACTGTCTCTATATTCAAAGATGGATAATGAAATCAATAAATTCATGATTCTTAACCAGCTGGATCCTATTATGAAATATTTTATTCACATACTAAATATCAACCATTTACAATATCATCATTAATCATGTTATTATTATGGTTCGTCGCACAGTCAGCCAGATATCCAGATAGGATTTTTATCTACATATCAAGTCCTTCCCAAAGATCTGGGATAGGCAGATATTGATCTTTGATAGGTTTTAGAGGTATTGGTGCAGGATGAAATCTGTTCTGAGTACAGGTGCCTTTTGCAATTGACTGATGGTGAATTTGTCAATGACGATGGTATTCAAGTGGTGCTTCAGTTGTTTTGGGATTGCACCCAAGGCACCTATTTCTACTGGCTTTCTTTTGCCAGTTGTTCTATTTCTATTTGCAGGTCTTCGTGTTTTGCTATCTTTTCCAGTCTTTCTCGTCTATTCTGTCTCCAGGTACTGCCACATCCACTATCCAGACTTTTTTGTCTTTCTTACCGACAATTGTTAAGTGCCTACCAGTTTGAATTCTAGAGTCCCAGAGTACTTTAGCTTCTTCATTTTCTATGACTTTCTTCATTTTATGGTCCCACCAGTTCGTGCTTGCAGGGAATTGTATTTTTTGCAGATCTTCCAGTGCATCATTGTTGCTATTATTTTATGTATTTATTAAACAAATTTATATAGTCACCCAACTCACATCCGGTGACTTCAGGTGGCTTACATTAGAATCCATAATGTAAGCATAGGCTCTCTCTCATCATCATCAGTGGTACAGAGTGTGGAGTTTGCTTATGTACAGTGTTGGTGGTGGTGTGGTTTCTCCTTGGTTCCTTGATTAGGTTTTTTTTTTCCTTCATTGTTTATCTGGGTGTTGGTTGCTGGAGTGGATATGTTGTTATCTTTTGGTTTCCTTCTTAGCTTTTTTATTGCCTTTTTGGAATGATGTGCAAATGTGATTTATCTGTAGCTACTGATGGCTGATTTGTCTGAATGCCAAGTTTCCAGCAATTCCCTAAATCTTTTTGGATTTAGCTTGATCTGGGATGCTCAATTACCCAGCTGAAACTATGTTCAAGTCTGTCCATGTGCTGGGAGATTAAGGAGTTTTCATCATGCCTTCTGAGTGCTTTAAATTTTTTCATGGATGTGCTCCAATAGTCTACTGCTGTTGTCCCACAAATGGCTGTTCTAGTCCTTACACAGTATGTTGTAGATGAGGCCTGTTTTTATTTCTTGGACTATGGGGTCTTTTTGTTTAAATGAGATACTTTTGAGAGCTTTGGTTGGTTTGTGTGCTGCAGTGATGCCATGTGGTTGTAATAATCTATAGACTATTTCTGAAGTATGGCAG